TCCCTCCTCGACCCCCGCCGCGCGGCCGGCCCCCTGCCTCCATCTGGCTGTCCCTCCTTCCCCTCTCTTCGCACCCATACCTCTTTGTACCGCACCCCCCGGGACCCCTGCACCCCTCCCCTCTCCCCCGGCCGCATGGACCGTCCCGCAGGCCGCTGATGCTGCCCGCAGCGAAGTGGCCTGGACCACAGTGCCCGGTGAGAGGTGAGTGCCTGGCAGGCCTGGAGGAGATGGGTGCCTGAGTGCTTCTCGGGAGAGGAGGGTGGAAGTCTCACGTCCCACTTCTGTTGCTTCTTTTGCAGCTGCCGTCGCGTCCACTCCCATCCCCCACCGCCCTTACCCCCCTCCTTCCCGGTTTCGAATTCTCCCGGGAGTCACTGTCAGCTTGACTGGGAGGGGAGCGCAGGAGGGAGGTACTTGCCCTATGAGTCCCACAGACTTGTCTCAGGCCACACAGAGTCTGTCCCCTTCTTACCCCTGTGTGAGGTCGGGCTGAGGGAGGGGGTCAGTCTGGACCAGGGCCCTGGAGAATGGGCACTTTGCCATTCTCTGCTCATGGCCTCCTTGCAGGTTCCCTGGCCTGCCTGATTCTGACCCCTCCCTCCCTGCCCCACAGAGGCCCTGCTGCTCCAGGGAGCCCAGGGCCTAGAGGTTGAGCCTGTTACCCTCAGCCTTCCAGAAGACCAAGCCTAAGCCAAGGGACCTCTGACCCTTGGGTGGGAAAACTGGGCAGGGCCTCTGTCCTGGGTAGAGGTGACACTGGGCATTAAGACCATGCCCTCACCTCCCAGCAGCGGGTCAGCCCACTCTCCCAGGCTCCTCAGGGTCCAGGCCAGGTGTCAGGAGGGGCGTGTCTAGCCACCAGATCCTTGGAGCTTAATTAGGGGTTCATCTTCCCTCCCATGTAGACCAGAGAACTGAGGCTCAAAGGGAGAAATTGCTACCCCAGACCCCTAGCAGAGTTTTGCCATCTGTCCTTCCATCTCTCACTCTGCAGAGCTGCACTGCTGTAGGTGGAAGGCAACCAGGGACACAGGCCCCCAGCTTGGCCCAAAGGACCCTGCGAAGGGAGCATATGCTCCTCTACAGAGGATTGTAGAGGAGGGAGAGGACTCCCAGCCTCAGCTCTGCCTGGCTATGGGCTCAGGCAGCATCTGCACTGCCCATGGGATTACCCCCTGGTACCTGAGGCTGAGTTCCACTGATGGGAATGTAGTGAGTGTGTGGGCACCCATCTGGTGCGGCGCTGGTACTGAGCTGAAACATGAAACAGCCTGGTGGTTTCACTGAGCGGAAACAGGCCCAGCTAGCTTAGAGGCATCCAAGTTCAGAACATGAATAGGATCTGAATGGGAAAGTTGAGAGCCCTTTTTCCACAGGGAGCACTTTACAGCTTTGGCTTAGGGGCTTTGTCAGGGGACACCCAGGGGTCTCTTCTAAGCTCTCCACACAATAAGGGTCCCAATGTCCTTGGTAAGACCCCAGCAAGGCAAAGGCATCAGCGGGGAGATTGGGAGTGTGGCAGGATCCTCTTGTTCCTAGAAAGGTGGGAGGTTCCCTGGAGGGTGCTGGACCATGTCTGGGACCCTCCTCAGGCCTCTGCCCTTGATTTAAAGTTTTTTCTGGTCACCTTGACATGTGCAGTGGAGGGGACCCATATGTCATGTGCCTGTGAGGCTCCTCTCACCCAGCCCTAACTTCCTTTCCAGCCTGAGGGGCGGACTGAGGCTTGACATGGTTGGGCGTGTTTATATAAACTGCGAGCTTATCGGAGCTTATCGGTGCCGTGGAGGTCTCGAGGCCTTTGTAGAAAGGGTCTGGTTTCAGGCTGGCACGTGTGCAGGGATGTTTTTTATCTGTTTTTTATCTGGTGAGCTTGTTGCCTTTCTCCCTCTCAGACATGGCTGCATTTCTCTATGTTGGGTCAAGAGTAAGGAAGGACCAGAAAACAGTCCCCAGCACCACTGCAGTGGACATCAAGCCTCGAGATGTTGAGCCACCACAGAGCAGCTCAGAGTACAGACAGGAGCTGAGGCCCAAGATCCACAGTGGGACATGGCTGCCCCAGTAAGCCACCAGATGGCTTGATTGGGCAGGACAGCCTGAGTCCAGTTCTGGGCTCCATCTTTTTGAGGAATTTCAAGGCCCTGACACATAGTCCCCAAAGAACAGAGATGTATGATCTGGGAAAAAGAAGGTAGAGAGAGACCCTCACATGTTTGAGGAGCTGCCCCATGTCAGAAAAGCCATCCCATGGTAGAAGATGCCCCAGGCACCAGGGACAGAGCTGGGGGGCAGGCAGGGCCCAGGGAAGCGAATCTGAGCTCATTATGAGAAAACCGTGTGTGTATTAGTTTCTTAATTTAGAAAGTAACAAAACAGCACTACAGGAAATTTAAAAAACAACGAAAATCACCCACTATTTCTTCACTGGCCCAGTGACTGTAACATTTTGGAGTTCCCTGCCTGTCTTAACTGTTTTTTTTCCCCCTTCATTGCTGTTGTCATTTGAGTGTACATGCCATGGCACCTTTTTTCATTTAATGCTGTGTCTGTAAGCATTTTCTCATGTTGCTATACGGTCTGTGTAACTTTGCCTCTAAAAAGCTACAGAATTTTCTGAATAACTGCCACAGCAAACTTACCCAGTCCCTCTTACTAAGCGCGTGCATTGTTGTTGCCCACCTGTTGCTATGGTGGTGGTCACTACAGGCCCCCAAAGCAGCCGGGAGTATTGGAGAGAGCAGGCAACTTGACACCCAACCGGGGTGGGTTCCAGGCCCAGCCATGCCATTTAGGCCATGCCATTTAGGCCATGCCGTTTAGGCCCAGGAGGATGGACCTTGGACAAGTCACCCGCTGAGCCAGAGTTCTTTTATATGATACCTGCTTCAGAGGGAAGTGTGCAGACAGTGTGAACTAATCAGTGTGCTAGAAAGTGCCTGGCACAACCACTAGCCTCCACAGGCACTTTGTCAGGAGGGTTGACATTGTTGATGGACCCAACACAGGCTGACTCAACATGGGAGCAAGAGGCCTGGCCCAGGGTTGGCTGATGGCTCACACAGCCAATAGCTGGCGTCTGTCTCGTGGGCCCTTCTGAAACCCTCTGTTCCTGAGCTTCTGGACTACTCTGGCCAGTGCCCTATCCCACCTCCCTGCCTTCCCTATCTGTGACAGGCCAGCTCAGATCGTGGTCCTGGCCCTAGGAAGATGGTATACTGGTTGGTTTGAGACCCTACCCATCCTTTTCTTCTCTCGGCATTGGAGCTGAGTGGACAAGGCCTCGTCTCTGAAAGCCCATCTGCCTCCTGTCCCCCAGCTTCAGCTAATTCCTAGGCCAGCCCTGCATTTCCCCAGTGGAGATAGAGGCCTACTTTCCCTGGGAAAACTGAGACTTCTGCAAGGAACCCAGGCATTTTGAGCCCTAATTCAGGGACAGGCATGCCAGCCTCATCTTCCCACCCTTTCCCAGTGGCTGGGGAAAGAAAGAAAGCTAGGGCGAGGCAGGGATTTTAGAGCCTCCCGACTAGCATTTGAAAAAAAACATAGATGGTCCACAAATCCCTGGAGAAGTCTTGTGTGTTAGCATCCTCCTCTTTGGCAGATGTTCCCCAGTCTAACCTGAGTGTGTACTGAGACATCGTTTGCTTCCTCCTCTTGTTCTGCTTCTCTGGAGACCAGAGAACTGGGAGTGCCCTCCACGGACAGGAGGAGAAAACCATTCTCAGGTTGGACCTAGGAGACTATAGCCCCAGATGACCCTAAGATGGCCCAGGACTAACCTAGGCAGAGGGTCCTCTCCCAGGTGGCTCATTCAATACAGAAGTCTATCAGGCACGTGACCTCGGACTCTGGCTGCCAGACTTCTGCCTGTAGAGTATTTCCCTTCTCCCTGGTCTTGGTTCAGGGGAAGTGGGTATTACAACTGCTCTCCTGTCCCACAGCTTGGACTGGGATGAGGTCACAGGGTGGGGTCCTCTCTAAGATGCTGGTCTGGCTGGGGTGAGCCCTTTGGGTGTTTCTCAGTCCCCCCTCCTTGGTTAGGGACAGGATGGGTGGAGGAGCAGGCACCCCCCACACCAGGCAGGGAGCACTGCCTCCCTTCCTCCTCTCCTCTGGGTCCCTTCATCCAAGGGCTGGAAATAGAATCTGCTAAGTAATGATTAAAGTCAAATTTAGACCTAAAAATAAAGAGCTGGTGAAGGAAGAGCTAGTGTGCTCCCTGTGTGGCTAAGGGGAGAAGCAAGCAAGGGAAGACTAGCTTCGGGGGGCCAAGGCCCTGCTTCTTGGGAGAGGCCACAGCCCACTGGGGTATCAGGAGTGCTCTACCAATTGTGGGGTCTCTTAGCAGGATGCAGCCTGCAACAACTGAGGTAGGACCAGGGAGAAAGTCCCATTTTTCCCATGGGGAAACTGAGGCCCAGAAGTGGTCTATCCAGCAACTGTCTGGGAGCTCTCCTTGGCAGGCCCCCAGAGACCTGAGGGTCCCACACAGCCCATCTCACCCTTTTTGTCTGTTCAGTTTCTCTTCCTGGTTTTGAGGTACTGTGATGAGAGCAGCTTCTCATCAAACACTAGCTGTATATGCCTTGGTGGGGCTGGGCCTCCAACCGCAGCTTCCCTCCGCCTCCCCCCAACCCCCACCTCTTCCGTGGTCTGGGCTCTGAGTTGCAGGAGCAAGCAGAAGAGAGGCTTCTTGGTACCCCTCTCTGCCTCTCCTGCTTTCTGCACAGTAGGAAACCTGTGGGTGGGTGAAAACCTGCGTGTCATCTGACGCCTGCCCAACCTGGCTGCTACTTCTCAGCTCTGCCCAGCACCTGGTCCTCACCCAGAAGCAGGCATCTGTGGCCTGTATTGTCCACACCGCAGGGAGACTGGAAGGGGACAATGAAGAAGGAAACCTGAGCTCCCCTGCTGGCCAGTAGGGAGACCAGATTCAGAGAGAAGTCAATTAGGGGAGGCCTGTGGTTCTGACTTCCTGGCGAGGTTGGTGGGAACTCAGAAGCTGGGGATCTGTGTGTGCTGGAACAGCTAGGAGGACTTCCTGGAGGGGAAGGGCCATGAAAATCAAGAAGCATTTGCAGAAGAGGCAGGGTAGGGGCAGAGGTCCTTGCTAGGAGCTTCTATCCTCTTTAGGGCTGCTAGCTTCTCTAGTTGCTGTGTGGCCCTAGACAAACTGTTAGCTTCTCCGTGTGAGATAG